GCCTCACCAGCAGCTGGGGTCCCTCTCCACCCACTTCCTCACCAGCAGCTGGACCCCCTCCCATTCCCTGCCTCACCAGCAGCCAGACCCCGCTCTCTTGCATCCAGACCCCTCCTCTATATCTTGCCTCACCTGCAGCTGAACCCTCTTGCTTCACCTGAAGCAACGTTTCCTGTCTCAGCTGGGCTGTACTTTCTCAGCCAGCACCAGCAGCTGGGGTCCCTCTCCACCCACTTCCTCACCAGCAGCTGGACCCCCTCCCATTCCCTGCCTCACCAGCAGCCAGACCCCGCTCTCTTGCATCCAGACCCCTCCTCTATATCTTGCCTCACCTGCAGCTGAACCCTCTTGCTTCACCTGAAGCAACGTTTCCTGTCTCAGCTGGGCTGTACTTTCTCAGCCAGAGGCCCACCTCCAGCCTCACCTACCACCAGCCCCCCTCACCTGTAGTTAGACCTTCCTGGCTCACCTGGTGCCAGACCTCTAACTCACCCCTCTGTTTCCTGCAGCCAACCTTCTCCCTTATTCTACAGCCAAACTACCCCTGCTCCTTCCCATATCTTCAGGCAGACCCCTGACCCAACTCCCCCTTCACTTGCAGACAAATCTTCTCCCCTCCAGGCTCCCACCAGACACCCCCACTTTCCTTCTCTCACCTGCAGCCAAATTTGCTCTCTCCCTCAGCTTCAGTTAGACCCACACAGTCTCCTTCCTAACAAGCAGTCTTGTCACTTATTTCAAATTCTCCCACTGTCCCCAGACCTGTTACAGCAGCAAGGTAGATGGAAACACATCCTTACCCTCCTCATCCACCATAATTAGCCAATTTCTTCTTCCACACTTCACCCCTGCTCTTCCCATGCCATGCAGTCTGACCTCATCATCCCCACTCTCACTCCAGCAGCCAAGTTCCAGTTCCCTAAAATGGTAGGAACTCAAAAGGGCAAATTAAAAAAAAAGGCAAACACAAACTGGTCCGTGCAATTAGAATAGACAAACAGCAAAATCCAAAGCCACATTTATCTTCATATCTTTCATAGGCAAATGTCAACTATGTTTTTTCTATCACACCTCTACTGTTATTGACACTGAAGCAATGTCATTAATACTCATTTTAGGTTGTAGATAATTTTAGCACATAAAATTTTAGAGTTCAGAATAGAGGGACATTTTCTGTTCAGGCTCTTGCACTGACTTTAACTCTGCTCCACTTATCCCTGGAACCCAATCCTCTCTCTCAGGCTATGTCTACTCTACAGAGGGGGTTTTTTCGGATAAACGGACATTTTTCTGAAAAAACCTGAATTACTTCCACACTGCGTTCTTGTACTTTTGAAAGAGAATTGAAAAACGGACATTTTTCTGAAAAAACCTGAATTACATCCACACTGCGTTCTTGTCCTTTTGAAAGAGAATTGAAACAGAGGTTTTTTTTCTGACATTGGTAAACCTCTTTCTATATGAGGAAGAAGCCTTTTTCTGAAAGAGCTCTTTCGGAAAAAGGCGTGTGTACATCGAAAAAGTTATCTAGCCTTTAGATTAGGCTAGATAACTTTTTCGATGCACTTTTGCTAGGTAGACGCTCTCTTTCAGAAGAAGTTTTTTCGGAAGATCTCTTCCAGAAAAGCTTCTTCTGAAAGAAGCCTGCAGTCTAGACATAGTCTCAGGGGGCCATGTTTGGCTAATATGTGTGGGGCACAGACAAAACAAATAGGCAGGACACCATAATCCCCTTAATTTCCTACAAACCATCCAGAGACCTCCACTGTTGCCATGCCAACTTTAACAACAGCCATATGCAATCTCCTTGTATTACTCAGAGACACCTTCCCCTCCCCTTTGCCTGCTCCTACTATCTGCATCAATACTGCTCATCATTTTTATTCCTACCTTTTCCCCACTTACCAAATGCAAGCAAAAAGTGTGAGTTGAGGTTATAGTAGCATGTAACAACAAAAACAAAAACACAAAAGTCATGCATATTTGGGAGTTTTGTGTGAAGATGCTGGGAGTGTTGGAGGACTGATATATATAAATATTTTTTTGGTTACAAGCTATTATCACCTCAGTTCACTGTCCTTACCTGCATTTGATAGGTGGGCCTTAAACCCATGAATGTATGACTCTTTTAAAATGACCTTTTTTCTTAAAATAGATACTTTGGAGAAAAATAATTTTCCATTTTTGTATCCCCCAAGCATTCTGTTTTTAGTTCTTCCTTCTATTTTATTTTTCTCCGTGATTGAATGGAAAAAGTAGGAGAGGGCTGGGAGGTAAGGAAAGTGAAATGAAAGAAGAAAGGGGAGAAAGAGGCCTGAGCAACTAAATTTTTTTCTAAAAGGAACATTTTTGTAAACCATTTCAAAAATTTTAAAAAATGTTCTTTTTCAAAACTTGCAAGATGGAAGTGATTTCTATTTTTTTTTGTACAAAAACTACAGTTTTTCAACCAAGTTCAATCCCTACTCAAGACTGGAAGCATTTAGAATCACCACCACCTAATCTCCACCTAAGGGCCTGACACACTTCTTACCACCACCAAACCTCCCATCAAATCTATATTTGGGTTAAAACCTCTGTAGTCTCATCCACCCTCCCAACATGAGCTAAACACTCCACCTTTCCCACCTATACCATCTCAGTCAAGGCTACAGACCTTGTCTCTGTCCCACCTATCAAATGCAGGTAAGGAGGGTGAATTGAGGTGATACTAGCTTGTAACCAAAAAAAAAAAAAAAATTCTAATACATAGTGCATGTTGTCTTGGATGGCTATACTATAATAAGTAATCATTGATTTCTGGTCCCTCTCTCCAATAAGTGGTAAGAGCACAGATGGTGCTGGAAAAACAAAACCTCAAACCACACATCTGCTAAGACTCACCACTTTATTGCATTCTGGTCCCCATCCTAGATTGTCCATTTAGGTGGGCCTGATTTTTAAAACCCACTTTCTCTCTTTTGTGCGTGCCCTGCCCGGCAGACGCAAATCGTGGAATGTAAACATCTACCTACTTGTTCCGTTTATTCAGACAACTAGCTTTCAAACTCACCTTACATTTCAATGGGATTTGAACACCTAAATTCCATTCACATCTTTTGAAAATTCCTACCTTCATATTTTTTCAGTCTAAAACAGAAGTATTTCCTAAATAATTTTTACATATTGTTTAAAGAAAAAAAAAAATCAAGAAGCAAAACAAAATATTAATTTAACTTGGGTAAAATTTTGAAAAATGCTCAAGTGATATAGGTCCTGAAAACCCATTTTTAAAAATTACTTAGGCATTTAAGTACTGCTGAGGATCTGTGTCTAGGAGCCTGATTCCCACTGACTTTCAATGAGACAGGCTTTAAAGCTAATATCCTCAAATATATTTAGGTCCTTCTCTGACTCTTTAAAAAGTACAGGATGAACCTCTCTGGTCTGGCAATGTCCGTGGTCCACAAATGTTGCCAGACCAGAGAGCGCCAGCTTGGGGCAGCCTAGTCCTGGTGCCCAATGGAGTGCCCTGTGGAGTGCCAGCAACCCTGAGGTTGGCCATGGAGCTCCAGCAGCCCCAGATCAAGCCCTGGCAGTGCAGGGACAGTGGAGCCCTGGCAACTCCAGAGCAGCAGAGCCCCAGCACCCTGGAGCAGTGGAGTCCCATCACCCTGGAACTTAAGAACATAAGATATAAATGGCCGTACTGGGTCATATCAAAGGTCCATCTAGCCCAGTATCCTGTCTACTGACAGTGGCCAGCACCAGGTGCCCCAGAGAGGGTGGACCGAAGACAATGATCAAGCGATTTGTCTCCTGCCATCCCTCTCCAGCCTCTGACAAACAGAGGCCAAGGACACCATTTTATCCCCTGGCTAATAGCCTTTTATGGACCTAACCTCCATGAATTTATCTAGCTTCTCTTTAAACTCTATTATAGTCCTAGCCTTCACTGCCTCCTCTGGCAAGAAGTTCCACAGGTTGACTATACGCTGTGTGAAGAACTTTCTTTTATTAGTTTAAAACCTGCTCCCCATTAATTTCATTTGGTGTCCTCTAGTTCTTCTATTTAGGGAATTAATAAATAACTTTTCTTTATCGGCCCTCTCCACACCACTCATGATTTTATATACCTCTATCATATCCCCCCTCAGTCTCCT